GAAAAGAGTCCATTTGATTATACTCAAGAGTATGTAGTTAATTGGTTAAATAAACAAATAGGTGATGAACAATATGTGAATGTCAATTCATCTACATTAATTCATTCATGGTTTTAATCATTAATTAGAACCATTCTTTAATTGATTAATGAATTCAAATTCAATTAGTTTAATCCTATTAATTGAGATTTTTCTTCTTTAAGAATTTCTTTGGAAGATAATTTGTTGTTGTAAATCCTATTGTAATTCTATCATCATCAATGTCATCAAGACTTTGTTGGCTAAATCCAATGAATTGCATTTTAACATTGAATTGAATACCATCATCATTCTCGCAAAGTTTCTCTTTTACAAAACATACTGTCCCATATGACAAAAATGCTCCATTAGTGTCTTTATCAGTGTTGTCATACTTATTTAAGAATTCTGTAAGAATATGTTTATTTGGTTCAATTGTGAAATCTTCTGGTTCAAATCCTTCTTTAGTAATTCTAAATCGACCAGGATTGACATTTTTAATTACATAATATATTCTATTGTAAACTGATGATTCTCTGCACTTTTAATAATTGCATTCTTCAACTTTCTCGTGTCTTTACTTAATTGATAGAATGAAATGGTAGTTCCATTGATACTTGTTGGTAATTGTGTTGATTGAACAATAATTAAATTCAATACAAATGCATCATATTGTTTTAGTTTGTCATAATTTCTGAACAATTTATGAATGAGATGAGTATAAAATAGTCATCAGCACCAATAACAGGAACACCATCTTTTTCACTCCATGATTTACTGGTCCTAGAATAATAGAAAGATAAATTGGCTTCTAATGTGAGAGTTTCAGCTTTACAATTAGTGAGTACACTGTATAAGACACCATTGGACATTTCTCTAGCAGCAATTAATCCACCTGCAACTTGTTCTTTATTACTACCAACATGTTGTTGTAAGACTTGTTCTTCCCAACTTCATTTTCATCTATAGGACCATCTAAATGATGGAAATCAGCATTGTGAATAGGATAGTCATCTAATTGGAGTCTGTAACAATCAAACCTGTTTTTCTGGATTCCTTGGACTATTTCTTGACCAGCATAAGTAATGACGTTTAAAACCTTAGGAATGACTTTACTTAGGAGAGTAGATAGAAACCCATTGATAAGAATAGAAGAATATGGGATCTAACTAATAAATGAACATCTATCAAATTGAAATGAGAGATAAAAATAAGAGATTTGAGATATTTAAGAGATTGAGAATAACTATATAATTCAGAAAGAAAAATGAATCCAAAGAATTTATCAGAGGGAACTGTATGCCAAACATATTCAGTTAGAATTGAATGTAATGTAGCAGATTCAGAAGATGATAGAGAGATGGTTATAGTCCCATTAATATTAGGACAAGGAACAGATTGGGACAAAATCAACCCAGAGATGTTTCAAATTAAAGACATCAATATAACAATTAATTCATATTATCAAAATAATATGATGGTAAATCAAAGTATTGAGTGGTATATATCAGGAGACTATCCAATGTATGTCCAAGCATTCGCAGGAAATACATATAACGAAGGAGATGCAACAAAAATGAATGAATTAATCTTTACAGGAATATATTTATCAGCAAAGTCTAATTCTACAATTCGCTCCAATTTCAAGAGTAAGAATATCTACAAGACAGTAATTAACACTGATGATAAGATACAAACTGTAAATAAAGAAGTAATCAGTAGAGGAACAGGAATAGATGAGTCATTAATAAAGAATCCAATGTAGTGTTATAATTAGGACATATAGCAATGTCTATTAGAAAAGAAGACTTCAAACAAAGTACATTTCAAGAAAGAATGACAATACAAGTACTATGCTTTCAGCAATAGAGAAGAAAGAAGAAAGAAGGAGTTGAAGAGAAACATAATTGTAAAGGAAAGATGCAACATAAACCAGAACCAAGTGAAGATAACAAGTATGTAGATACGCCAGTAGGAGGAAAGTTAATTTTGAACTATCAAGCATTTATTAGAGCAGAGATTACAATTGCCTATACAAGAAAGCCATACTAATTGAATAAGGATTTAAAAAGAAAATAGAATGAAGAAAATAAGAAGAAGTTAAAAAGAGGAAATGAGTAAAGGAAAAGATGAAGAAGAGATAAATTCGGAGTAATTAGAAGAGATTTTAGAAGAAATGAAAGGAGAAGAAGTGATATAGAAAGAAGTAGAATACAAAAGAGGAAGGATGAAGAAAGGAGTGATGGAGGATAAAGACATAAACAAAGTGATTGATAACAACATCAAGAAATTCAAAGAAAATTTCAAAGGAGAAGATGTAATAGTTAGAAATATAGTGAAAAAGACAGATTTCATACAAAAGAAAGAAGTCAGGAAGAGAAAATGAAAGTGAGAAAGAAGATAATATGAGTTCAGAGTATTTAGAAGAGATATTAACATGAATGCAGATAACATAAGAAAAGAGAGAATTCCAAAATGAAAAGAATTTGTTAAATTTACATTTCAAAACTGATTTTCCAAAAAAAAAAACATAGAATAACAAAAATAACAAAATGAAGAGAATAGTATAAATAACATTTGATAACATTTCTTTTATTCTATTTATAAATAATATAAATCTTTTATATAACACATTTTAGAAGTTACAACGTGTCACAAAACACTTTTCATTATTTTTTATTAATTTTTTTAATTTTTCAAAATTATATATAAAGGAAAAAAATGAAAAGAAAAAACCATCAGGTAGTCACACCATAACCCTTTGAGCAAGTCACAACGTGGTTATTTTGACTTCTTATTTCTCATTCATCAATGAATGGCACAATAAACAATGACAAGGTTGATCTTGTAGTCATCCCTTCAGATCATGGAATTACATTCAACACTAATCTGGGAGATGATGACAAAAATAATGTCATTGAGGAGCATGATTCATTTGAGTCTGTTGAATATCTTTATGATCGTAATCTCGATGATAATCTCAATGATTATTTGAACAATCTTAATTGAATTCTTATTATTTTTTATATTTCTTTTTCTTGTTTAATTATTTAATGTTTAACAATTTCTCATTTACTTTATTTCGTCTTTTCTTCTTTCTTGAAGATAATTTGTCTTGGAATGGATACTCTATGTATTTCTGTTATTTCTATCCTCTTGAATAATATTTTCCATCTCATTGAATTTAATTATCTCTTTTTAATTCTATCTGAAAACTCATACTTCTCTTCTTCTCTTTCATTCCCTACTACAACACTATCCTTACTCATCACATCGACTATTTCAATGGGTGTTAACATGTTATTCTCTATCATCAGATATGGATTTTCACTCATTGAAATAGAACTTTCTTCTCCTTCATTCTCCTCTAGTGGAACTGTATCTCATTCTTCTCAATAGGTTCTATTCTTTCCATTACTTCCCAACTTCCTGGACTAAGAAGAATATTGAGAATCAATGTACAAACAAGAGTATGTAACCAAATCATTTTATTTCCCTTGTGTTTCCATTTTAGAAAGATGTTACTATCTATGTTAAAGTGTCTAATCATTTCAATACTGTTTAATTGAAGGATATCAAAGATATTTTTATCGACATACAACTCATTTAATTTTCTAATGACATGTGATTGATTAAATTGAAGAATTTTATTATACATAACAGCAGAAAGAAGATTTTCATTAAACATATTATTCAAGAAGTCTACATTAATAGGAGGACTAAATATTTTAACTAAATCTTTAGAACCCATTGTTTTCATTCTTTCTAATTGAATATTTTGTTCTGATCAAAATACTCATCTATAAATTCAAAGACATCTTTTTGGTTTTGTTTCTCAAGATTAATTCTACTTTCTAAGTCACATCTAAGTTTTTCATGATAAGTGAGGATGTTAATTTATTGTTTCTTACTATTAGTGTTATTAGCACTTGTGAGACTCATAATGAAAAGAAAAAAACTATAGATTCATAGAAATAAAGAAATAATAAAACATTAATTAGAAACTAATAGTAAAGTATGTTGAATATTTGTGAATAAGAAATCATCGATTTGAACAACAGGTTGATTAGGATTATGATTATTAACATTTAGAGCAACTAAATTATCAACAGTGAAATTAAAAGTGTCAATTTGATTGACTTTAGGAAGTCCTTTTTCTGAAGTCAATAGAGATGAATCATTTAAGAATCAAATAGACCAACATTATTCTGATAGATGAGTAGAGTGTTAATGAGTTGATTTCGTAAAACAACAAGATTATTATTAGTATGAGTGAAATGTGTTTTGAGACGATTAAATATAGTGATGGCAGGATTATGAACAAATAGAGTTAAATCATCCTTTGTTTTAAGTTCAGAAATGAAAGTATTTTGTTGAGTATAAACTCTGAAGTTAAAGTTAATAGAGAAAATTCCTATCAGGATAATTGTATCTAATAATAATCATAACATTAGTCAAGAATTGACACAAATATTTGAAAGTTGATTCAAATGAGTATCTATAACCTTTAAGTCTATTTAAAGAAATTAAATTTGTAGTGAGTTGCTTGTAAATAGATATATTCAAAGGTGTTTTAATATCTCTTTTAAAATAAACAGAACAAACAGGATACATGATGTGATTCTTATTTCTTTGAGCACCAATATCATTAAGAACAATTTGAAATTGATAGATTTGTTGAATTAAGTGATATAAAAATAAATATCAGTATGAATATTTCATTCAGTGATAGACTTTCTAAGTTGTTCAATATATTTTGTTTTGTTGTCTTTTTAAATCATTGTTCAATTTTATGAGGAAGATTACCCCTATTAGTAGACATTGAATATTTAAAGAGATAAGAACTGAAAAAACAAAGATGAGTTTTGAGAAAGGATGTATAAATGAAGCGACGGTAATAAAGGGAATAGAAAGGAAGAACATCTTTTTGTTTTGAAAAACTGTTACAGGAAAGACATTAACAGGTAATGAAATGTGTAAAAGAATAAGGCAATTAATTCCATATAATAAAAGTACAAGTAAATTATGGAGAAATTATAAAAAACAAAAAGTAGATTTACTTGATGACATTGATAAAAACAATGTTAAATATATTAAAACAGTATATTTACATGTGGAGATTATTATAATTTTGAAGTACAAATAAGTAGTAAAGAAGATAATATTGTAATTAATCCAGTTAATTATACATTAATAATTACATCTACATTTAATTCAGAAGAATTATTTGAAATTAAGAATAGATATGAAATAATTTCAATAAATTAATTGAAGTGGTTCATATTGATGAGAATTAATTAGATTAATAAAATGAATAACATAATTGAATAAATTTTAAGAAGTTAATTATATTTAATTTTCCTCTATGTATTATCTCTTAGTGTATAGATACTATTTACTTTGGAGAAAAATAGAATGAATAAAACGAAAATAATAAAAAGAATGAATTCGATTAGAATAGAGTGGTTATCATCATCAAATGAGTCAAAGAATATTTCTCTTTCATTTTGATTCTCAGCAACAATAAGGGTGTTATTTTCAAATGTAATTTGACTATTTTTATGAATAGAATAATTAGGGATGACAATTTCATAGTCAGAAATGTGTTTTATGTACAAGTACAACAAATTTCATAAACCATAAGAATGTTATAATCATCATTCTCACTCTCATTGAAGACTAGTCTTCTATAGAAATAGTTTGAATGAAATCTTGAGTTATTGTTTGACATTTGAAGAATGGAAAAGGAGATTAAAATAAAAAGAAGAAATTAGAATATCTAGTAGGATGTTTGTAATTGTTGAACAGTATTTTATTGGAAGAGAATATATTGATGATGTCTAAATTGAGCATTTTTAACCATAGTTTATTTGGTTTCTAAAATGTCTTAATATAATGTTGTTGTAGAAAAAAATAATGACTATGATAATGTTTTATCACCATTCACTCTTCTGTAAACATTATTTGCTTTATATCTCTTTATATATAATATATTTGTGTATTTCTCATGTTTATTTTTATTAATAATGAAGTGTTATCTTTTTGATATTTTTAGATTCACCAACATCAACATTTTCAGATTTTACATTTTTACTACTCATCATAGAATGAATAAGAAATAAAATATCAAAATACCGACATGTGACAAATGTATTGTCACAATTTCTCTTCATTTTCTTATATAAAACAAATGAAAGTATAAGAAATTATAATAAATTTCTAGAATAAAATATATTCAACATTTGTTTTATTCATATTTTCCTAAATTCATTTACAAAATATATATGGCTAAGAAATATTGAAGAAAATAAGTAGTTATGTAATTAATTTATCTAATTCTATAAAAAGAACACCAATAACAAAATATTATAATAACAAAAAAAAAAGAAAAAAAGAATATTATTGTTTTGTCGAACCGTAACAAAAAGAGGAAAAAAGATCGTAGATGGATCCTGACTTAATTTTGCTCAGTGCGAAATTTAGACTAGGTATGAATGACGATAAGAGGAGGATTCGATAAATAAAATAATAAAAAAACTATCTTATTATAATATTGTCCTGTCAATGTCCTATCTATGTCCTATCTATGTCCTATCTATGTCCTATCTATGTCCTATCTATGTTCTGTGTCCTGTCGCCACGTCAGTGGACTACACAATATATAAAGCTACAGTATTACCTTTATACTTGTGTAGTCCACTTCTGTAGTCGATGTCCTCCAGACGCTATCAATTAACGCTAAATGAACCAACTAAGTATTATGCTTTATTGATGTATTTAAAACATTACAAATCGCTTAAGTATTTGATTTCTTGTAAAGAAATCGCTCCTACTACTAGCCATGTCCATATTCATATATATGCTGTATTTTCATGTCCTGTAAAGCTTCAAGTATCAAAACTTCAAGGTGCTCATATTGAATTATGTAAAGGCTCTAATAAAGCTAATATTGATTACATTAAGAAGGATGGAAACATCCTCGATGAATTAGGAGAAGAGCCTCACCAAGGGCTACATTCCACAGTTGCTGAATTAATAGAAGTTAAAGACCCGGCCGATTTAAATCCAATTGAATTGAATAGGTGGATACAAGCTAAAAATCTAAACCAACGAATAGATCTTAATACTTATTATAAGCCTGCTGTGAAAGTCTTTTACGTTTGGGGTCTTTCCGGTATAGGAAAGACTAAATGGGTATTTGATAAAATCAACGAATTAAACTTACAAAATTGTACTGATCGTGTTTCTTTCATCAATAACTTCTGGCATGGAGTATCATCAGATGGTCAAAGTACTTGTGCTTGGTATGATGACTTTAGAAGTACGGATATGAAACCAAATGAATTCATCAGATTTATTGACTATTATAAGAATAATCTTAATGTTAAGAATGGCAATGTAGTGAATAATTATTTATTCATCTTTATTACTTCTGTTGAAAATCCAGAAGAGTTGTACAAGAATATGCAACTTGAAGAGCCAAGAAGACAATGGCTTAGAAGGATGGAAATAATCCATCTTGAAGATGAACCAGCTAATTCAGCTACCGAGTCAATAACTGAGTTGGCTTCTACGTGGCCAAGTGTCACTTTAGAATAGTTTAATTAACTATTTCTTTTAGTTTCTATTTTTATTTTATGAATAATTCATTTATTTTTCATTTAAAACTCATAGTTTGTGATGATTCACCACGTATTTAAACCTCATTTTCTAATAATTCTCATATGGCTCGTTTAAAGAGAAGAACAACAAGAAGAAAGACTTCTAAAAGACCGACTGTTCGTCGTGGTAGGCGTGTATATAAACGACGTGTATATAGAAAAAGAAGACATTATATATATACGCATATCACGGTGATAAATATATTTTTAATTCTTCTTTTTGTTGTTTCTTTAAATGAGTAAAATGAGTTTTATTAATTAAATGTTTAAATATATGGTGGATATCACAGACTTTGAATTTTATAAAAAATAGAAGAAATTCAATTAATTTACATTATCACATAGTTTCATTAAATGAATAACTTTATAATTTCTTTAGCATTGATGTCTAGGTTTTGTAAAGACATAATCGTATAAAAATCTTTTAGATGTTGAACATTTAGTACACTGACAAGTTTATATCTATCAATAACACAACTCCACCTTTGATGTTAAGCTGCGATACATAATAGTCTATGTATTAGATAAATTCATTCGGCTTCATATGACTGCTTATAAAATCATCATATGTGCAACACTAACTTTGACCATCTGTTGAGACACCCATCCAGAAATTGTTAATAAACTTAACACGGTCAAATTCTTTAGTTACCAAGTAACTCATAGCTAATCTGGATTTGCCTATTCCAGAAGAACCCCAGATGTAATAGACTTTTACGTCTAGTTTGTAGCATGAGTCAACTGTAAATCTCTGAGAGAGATTTCTAGCAATGAGCCACCTATTGAGCTCAATAGGATTTAAATCAGAGGGGTCATTTACAGAAACTAGATCAGCTACAGTACTATGAAGACCTTGCTTGGGTTCATTTCCAATCTCGTCTATAATATTTCCATCCTTTTTGATGTATTTAATATTCTGCTTAGGGGAGCCCCTACAGACTTCAACATGGGTTCCCTGACACTGGACTAATGACAAGTAGGTTGTTTGTTGGTAATTGACATAGATATGGATGTGCTCATGCCCCGTGCTTGGAGCATGCTCTTTAGCAGCGATATAATATTTTAGAGACTTATAATGTTTCAAATAGAGCACCAAAGCATGATATTTACTAGGCTCGTTTAATGTCAATTGGAATCATCTTGAAGACATTTTACTACAGAAGTGGACTACACAAGTATAAAGGTAATACTGTAGCTTTATATATTGTGTAGTCCACTGACGTGGCGACAGGACACAGAACATAGATAGGACATAGATAGGACATAGATAGGACATAGATAGGACATAGATAGGACATTGACAGGACAATATTATAATAAGATAGTTTTTTTATTATTTTATTTATCGAATCCTCCTCTTATCGTCATTCATACCTAGTCTAAATTTCGCACTGAGCAAAATTAAGTCAGGATCCATCTACGATCTTTTTTCCTCTTTTTGTTACGGTTCGACAAAACAATAATATTCTTTTTTTCTTTTTTTTTTGTTATTATAATATTTTGTTATTGGTGTTCTTTTTATAGAATTAGATAAATTAATTACATAACTACTTATTTTCTTCAATATTTCTTAGCCATATATATTTTGTAAATGAATTTAGGAAAATATGAATAAAACAAATGTTGAATATATTTTATTCTAGAAATTTATTATAATTTCTTATACTTTCATTTGTTTTATATAAGAAAATGAAGAGAAATTGTGACAATACATTTGTCACATGTCGGTATTTTGATATTTTATTTCTTATTCATTCTATGATGAGTAGTAAAAATGTAAAATCTGAAAATGTTGATGTTGGTGAATCTAAAAATATCAAAAAGATAACACTTCATTATTAATAAAAATAAACATGAGAAATACACAAATATATTATATATAAAGAGATATAAAGCAAATAATGTTTACAGAAGAGTGAATGGTGATAAAACATTATCATAGTCATTATTTTTTTCTACAACAACATTATATTAAGACATTTTAGAAACCAAATAAACTATGGTTAAAAATGCTCAATTTAGACATCATCAATATATTCTCTTCCAATAAAATACTGTTCAACAATTACAAACATCCTACTAGATATTCTAATTTCTTCTTTTTATTTTATTGTTCTTATTTTATATTCTTGCCATTTCATTCAAAATGCTACGATTTTTAAAGAAAAATAATTATTACAGGAAACAAAAGGGATTTAAAGGGATTAATCAATATTACAAAGGAAACAACAAACACGAAAATGATTTGATACAAATAAGATAGGTCATAGATATAATCAATTTGAAAATATACAACGATACAATGGTGGGATTCATAAAAATTATAATCAAAAATAATATTATCCGAATAGAAGATATAAACAGTATCAATACGAAATACTGGCAACCCAAAGAGAATAAACAGAAGTCAAAGATACTATAAGAAAGAAAAGATATTGAAGAATGAAAGAATGGAAAGAGAAGAATAAATAATAAAAGGATTGATGAAAAGGATTGAAGCTATTGAAAAGTTAGTAACAAGAATAAAATAGAAAATAGAAACAGAAGAAGAGAAAGAAATATCAATGGAAATCTAAGAGAAAGAGAGAAGAAACAATACAAGAAGAAGTTAAAGATAAATGTAATTAAGAAAGAACAAAAAAAAAAAAAAGAAATAGAAGATATAATAAAAGAGAAAGAAAAAGAAAAGAAAGCAAATGAAATAGAGAATAATAAACAAAGGATAAAAAACAGAAGAACAAACAAAGAAAGAATTACAAGAACAAATAGATAAAATGTAGAAAATAATAAAATAAAGAGAGAAGTAAGTAGAACACAGAAATTAATATAAGAAGTAGAAAAGAGAGGAATAGATATGGAAGAAATATTTATAGAATATTAAGAAGAAAGTTTTAAGAAAGAAATGAAGAAAAAGAAAAAAGAGAGGAAGAAAGAGACAGAACAAGGAACAATAAAAAGATAAACAACATCGGGAATAGAAAGTATGGAAAAGGTTGAGAAAGAACAGAAAAAGAGTGATGTACTAGAAGAGAAACAATGAATGATATACCGTAATGAAGAAAGAAGTGAACGTGAAACAAAAATAAGAAGAAGATGTCTATTATAGAATTAATAAATTAAATAATAAATTAAAAAAGAATATAATATATTATTAATTAAAAATTAGTTAATTAAGTGTTAATAGATTTTTCATATATTCTTTCTCGTTCAGCAAAGACTAATAACATTCCTGAGCTTATTTTAAAAGAGTAATCTTTTTGTTTAACTATTCTTTTAAGTTTTTGTAGGAGTATGATAAAAAGTATTTCTTTACTTTATTTCTTTTTATTAATATCTTCTCAAACATCTTCTGATTATTCCTTCTTTTTAGCTTTTTGTTTATTTTCTGTCTTAATTTTAAATAATTTCTTTTTCTTTGTTTTATGAATGAGAGAATTGAACATTTCATTAACATCATATTACTTTGACTATATTTCTTTTAGTCTTTCTTTGAATAATCTTCTTTTAGTCTAACCCACACTTCAGTAGTTCCTTATATTACATCCATGTAATATCCTATCATAATGTCTTGCTCCACTATTTGCAGCATTCCCTAATCCATTTCTAATTCAAATACATCACCATAACCAAATAATAACAATGAGAGTCAATACTTGATTTGTACTAGGGTTTGTGTGATGTTTCAGACGTGCCACCTTCGATCTCCAAAGAAATAATTAAATAAAACAATGAATAGAAAGAATATTTATGTGATATTGTGAATAAACAGAAAGAAGAATGAATAATTTAATAAATTTGAATGGATAGACAATGGTATAACAGAATAATAAAGATTAATGAAATACTACTATAATTTTATATTTTATTTTCTAAGAAATGAATAGAATAAGAAATGAAAGAGTTTTAAATCAGAAAAGTATAACAAAATAAGAAAGGATTATAGATGAACATACCAATCATTAAAATAATAAAGAAGTAAATAAAATGAAAAGAAATAATAAGAAATAAATGCATGATAATATATTAATTTCAAGAAACAACTTAATTCATATAAATCATATTCATTATTCAATTCATTATTCAATTCTTTTTAACTAATTTTGGTTTTTACTTAAATAATATATTTTTCATTTCATTCTATATTATGAAGAGAAGTTTGTATGAATTGGTTTTGAAATTATTTATTCTCTTTCATGCCATTTCATTTACTTCTATTTCTTTTTTGAGTTGATGTTAATAGAGATATGACTCTTCTATTGTCTCTTATTACATCCATTTCATATCTTTTCGTTATTTCTTTATTATTCGTTATATCCTTTTATTCTTATTATCATTCATATCGACTTTCAATCATTTCAACGATTATTTCTTTATTCCAACATCACACTTTGTCTATTTATATTCTTTTCTTTGACTTTTTCTCTTAATATTTTGTGTGTTTGCTTTTTTCTCTGTTTTTATTCATTTTGTTTTTATGTTGTTATTTATTCACCAGTTCATTAAACAAATACCAAATTGAATGCAAGACATCTTGTAATTTAATGCAATGAATTGTATAAATACTTAGGAATATGGCAGTCCGACGAAATTGATGACACCTTCAATTGTAAATCCATCAAAGAAAAAATGATGAAAAAGATGGAAGAAATAAACAGTGATGAAAGTAGTAATAGAAGATATATTACTATGATAAACACGGAAGTAATCCCTATCTTCAGATATTCAGCATCAGTTGTAAATTGGAAGATCATTAACCTAGATAAAATTGATTTGGAGATAAGAAAATATTTAAGAAAGGCGAAATACAATGATTCAACTCCAAAGATAGGTTGTATGTCATTATAGAAGAAATGAATGATTAATAAATATAAATGACGAATATGTTATTGAATTAGTAAGAACAGTAATGTACTACTGTACCAGAGAAAGTGAAATAAGAAATAACATATTAGATAGATGGTACAGTAAGAAAGGAATGTGGAATAGAATTAAAAAACAATAATTCATAAAATAAATGAAACAAAAATAGAAGAAATAATAAATGAAAATATTGAAAAGAAAAAAGAAAAAGAAGTAGTAGTAGAAATAAAAAAATTAATAACAAATACATCAAAAATGGAAGTGTTATCAAACAAATGACATTTTAGAAAATGATTTGAGTCAAAACGAGTAGATAAAACTACTACAGTGAAAGAATGGAAGTCAATCAATATTAAAAAGAATGCATTTCTCCAATTAACTAAAATGCAAGATGAAGCAATATTTTGTGGGTATAAGAAAGCAAAAATAATGAAAAATGAAAGATTGAAATACTAAACACTTTGTAAAGACAAGATAGCTACAGTACAATACATTCTACTATCTTGTATTTATCATAATAAATCACAAATGGAAAAACATGACCATATAGGCATTATAATATTGATTAATAAGAAAATACACATGAAATAATCAATATAAAAAACCACCATATGAAACAATGTTCCAATATAAAGACATCATGATGATATGAAACGAATAAATAATGCCTAAAAGTGAATGACAATACCACAAAATAACAGATATATATGTATTAGATAAAAAGAATAAAACTAGTCTATTATTTGATATGACTATTGTGGCTGATCATAATATTAATGGAGCCTATTTGAAGAAAAGAAATAAGTATAAAGAATTAAAGAATATACTAATGAAAATAGAAAAATTAAAAGATGTCAGAATAAATCCAGTAGTAATCTCAATCAATGGATTAATGAATAAAGAAAGTATTAAATTAATTAAAGAATTAAAAATTGACATTGACATTGACATCGAGAAAGAAGTAAAAAACCTTGTCATAAAAAACATGATGGATGTCATGGAATACTGTTTCAATCACAACCAAACATACTCCTTAGAGCTGCTTGAATATGATGAATACAAATGGATGTGATTAGTCTCCCTTGAGCCAGGAAGAATAGAATCTAGTTCTATTTATACTGAATTAATTGCTATTAAATTCGTTTCTATATATTTATTATATACTCAATTACTTTATAATTTAATTCGATGTTTAATTATTATGTTATTTTATTTCAATAAGAAATTTTTAATGTTATAAAGAAAATATATTGACAAAGAACCTAGTTTTATTGAAATGAAATCAATTAATATTTCCTCGAAATTTTTATTTCGTATTTCTATTTAATTATTTTATATTTTTCAAATGCATCGATATAATTATTTATTTGCTCATATTTGAATTTTTCTTTGTATTCTTGTTATTTTTTTAATATTAACAATATCATTTTGTTAATACCACTTCATTGTCATGTATTTTATAAGTAGTATTGTAATATTTCTAATTGAATGTTTAATCTTTTATACCATTATTATTTGATATTTGTTTGTTGTTGATTTATTGTAATGCTTGATTATTGCTTTATTACAGTGTAAAGTAATTACTATTCATTTGAATATTTATTAAACTGCTTCTATTGTCTCAGTTTTATAAACAAATTTATTTTGTATTGTGCAAAATGTAATGAGTTTTGTTTAGTTAATATAAATATATTCCAATGTTTGAAGAAAGTTTAAAAGGAAATGGAAAATTACAACAAGTATTAAAGAAAAATAGTTGTTTAAAAAAAAGTAGTAAAAATACTATTGAAGTATCAAAATAAAGAAGAAATTAAAAGAGAAATAGATGTGATATTTTAACTTAATAGGAAAATGATAAAATAATATAGAAAAGAATAAATATTGTTTGTAATAATATTACACAT